TCTGTTGGTCATCGTTGGAGAGCAAGTCTTCCTAAAACTTCAGAACTCTGCTCAGTATTCATTACTATCATTATTATAATTACTTTCATGTTAGAACTTTTCGGTGTAAAAAATTACGGATCAAGTGCCAGGAAGACATCACTATTTTCAGAAATCCTAGCGAACTCAATCGTTTCTGAATGATTTACAATTCTCCAGTCTTTTTTATAACCATTCCAATGATCCAGTAATGATTGATTCAACCATCATATACAAATTATTCAGTCGATTAATGGCTCTTGAAATTACCTGATTTCTTTTCATCTTCAACCATTGGATTCAAACTTTATGTGAGATAATTTTTCTAACAGGTTTCTTGAAGACATTACAATCGTGTCTTTCCACGGATTCCTGTCTGCAATGACTTTAATAAAAACTTATCAAGTAGTAGTGTTCTTTTTTCCCTATTTATCATGCTTTCACTATGTTCTATGAGTTTCATAGAAGCACATAAACTTTTTCTATGTCTTCTATTTCATATTCACCGCCGTCTATTATTTAACTGGGCACATCGTCAAATTTCGTCATGTGCTTGATTTTTGACTTTCCCAATGTGTAACTCGTAACATAGGATTTCTCTTTTGTTGAAAATTATTTTGTCTTTGTACTGTTAATTGTTATTTACATTTTCTTGCGTTCCCCGATTAAATTGTCTAATGATTCTTCCAGTTTTACTTTTGAAACATTCACCAATACAATTTCGTTTGCGTTGTGTACGTTGTTAAGATTACGTCAGCCGAGAAATTCTGATCGATTGAATCATCTTGCTGTACAGGTTAAATAAATTCGATGACAAAAAAAAAAATCCATACTCATCCCTTGTAATTTTGTGTGATGACATAACTTATCCTCTATCTGTAAACAAGCTGTTTTTGTTTTCAATTGAAACTCCGGATTATGTGAGTATTTTTTCTCTGTAGATCAAGCTTTCTTAATATTTCAAGGAGTTCTTTGTATAACACTTTATTGAATAAATTCTAGAAAACAAAATTTTAGAAAACAAATTCAGCACATCTATTGCAGATTGTGAATACGATTTTAATAGCTTTTGATAGCAGTTTTGTTTCAATATCTTCAACATATCTAAATGATTATTACCCCGTTTTCGATATAATACTGGTAGGAGCTCATTTATTATGATACTAATTATTTGATTTCGTATTATATATCATAGAGTTAAATATTTTGTGGAGCTCACATTCACTTGTACCTAGCTTCTTTTGCAGCGCTATCAAGATAGATCTGTTCGGATCTTCCAGTATTTCACTGATATCATTTATTTCGATTAACACTTGCGCGAAATATCAATATCCAAATCGTTTAAAACTGACAGGATCTTTTTTAAAATCTCATCTGATCCTGTTATTTTTTTCCTTATCAATATGGCCGGTAGTCAGCTAATTTTAAATTTTAATATTTCTAGTTCTTCCATGCTCTTATGTTTTCTATTTTTTCGCCCCTGTCTTCATGTTAGTGCGATTCTCTGCAGGCATTCCACTGTAGTAGTATTTATTCTTTTTCCTTAATGATTGCTTTCTCTATAGACATTATGATCGCTGCTAGAGGTCGCTTCCTATCAAGCTATCTATTTAATCTTCGCATGTTGAATGAATCGCTAGGTTTGTTGCTAGCAATGTTGGTTCAATGTGGTAATTTTTCTCTCTCGTATTTATTTTATATATTTATAAGTCTACCATTCATTCATGCTATGAATATTACTGCCACATATGGTCCGGTGTTTTTCCTATGTAGTTAGAGATCCTTGATAAAATTAAAAAAAGCATAGGTAATATCATTGGTCCTGACATGACATCTCGGCTTCAGCCATTTTTTCCAATCCGTAATATAGTTTGCCTTTGTCTTTTATATAAATGTATAGATTGGTGACAATGTCTCATCTTTTTACAGTTGAAATGGATAGATCTATGTTAACAGTTTCTTTTTCTCGTACTTGTCGTCTGTAAAGCACATTATCGGTTTCTTGCTTTGCAGTCAATTTTGATTTAAAAAAAAATTAAATGGAATATCAATTGTTATCTTCTGTTTTCTTAATTCCTGTTCTTTTATTGCTATCGTTCCTTAATAATGTTTTTCTTTTCTTAAATTCTTTTACACTCAGTTACCCTCACCTTAGTGACTTTACTGCCTTGCATAGTGTGGAATGAGTAAACACAATATGTACTAAATCTGTCTTCTGCTTCTTTTAGTTTCAAAACATTTCCCATGAAGCTATGAATTTTTGCTTGCTTTCATGTTTTTTTCACATGTTTTTGACTATTATCCTATAGTCTGTACCATTTTTCTCTGGCATTATCCACTCTCTCTCTCTCTCTCTCTCTCTCTCTCTCTCTCTCATAATCAGATCCAGAATTTAATTTGTCTTGTATTTCTTTATTTTTCTTCTCTTTCTTTCCTCGAAATGATTTCTTCAACCGTTGTCATTTGTGCTTCACTTAAAGTGTCCAACTTTGATCCCTTAAACAGGCTCAAATTTTTAAATTTTTTCTTAACTGCGACTGCTTATATTTCTTTGTAAATGAGATCGATATTGAATTTATTGAATAACTGTTTGGGCTTTACTTTGTTTTTATTTTAAAAAATCCCTTTTGTATCTTTACTCTCTAGTTTTCATATATCAGGAAGGTAATCAGTGTCCCCGTTTACGTTATGCTTTAGAGTGCAAAACTGCGCTTCTGAATCCTTTATTTATGACCAACATATAAATATTGTTTCTTATTTTTTATATTTCTATTTTCTACGGCTGTCCTTCCATGTGTTGGTTATTACTTCACGTATTTTTATTTTTCAATTGATTAAATTTACTTAAAAAATATTTGTATCCATTCTTTCCATTTCGTTTTACATTTTCTAGCTATCCACATTGGAAAAGGTTGTTATCTGGCGATATTATTGCCTTTATTGCAAACGGGGATTAAAGATAATCAAGGCGACACCTGTCATATGTATAATTTCTTAAGGGGCGAGGAATCAGTTAGAATCGAGCTGATCCAATTCTCAACGTTGTCTGATAGTTGTGGATAACTATGATTGTTCTTAGGAAATTTAGTAGAAATATTTTTTGTTGCCTGCTCCACAGTGATTTTAACGAAACACTTCTGCAAAGTAACATGCTGTTGACTACTGGTATTCTCCCGCCTTTTAATGGGACTTATTTTTTTCCTAACGATTTGCTAACAATCCTCTTCGTTCAAGGCTAAGTGGAGCTGATTTATTCACCAACAACTGGATAAACATTTTTCAAAATGATTATTATTAATTTTGTGAAAGAGAACATGGCATATTTTTTCTTTCCATTTCTGGTGCACGCCATCAATATCGGTTGCAGAAGATATGAAAGTTATCATTAGTGGAAGTTTTATTTTTTTTATTTAAGTTAGCCCAATGCAAGTTCGAAGAGATACTCAAGGTAGAGTGTCACTGAGTGGGGTGAGTGATATGAACATAAGAGAAGGAAGTACTAGATTACGAGTATTTAACGAATAGATAAAGATTGAAGAGGTTACATAGGTAGTGGTCTGGAGTATATTCACGGGGGAGTCTGTTCAACAAAATAGCAATTATTGGGGGAGAAACTTTCTGAGTGGATCATCCTTTTTACCAAAAGAATAAATAGGGAATAAGGGTGAGTAAGCCATGTGAGCGTACGAGAGAGATTTGCGACGTTACGCTTTGGGCAAAGAGACAGTAGGCTGGGAAATGCTGTCATCGACAAGGTCACGTAAACGATTCTAAACTTTGTCAAGGCTGGTAAGTAAAGGTTAGTTAAGCACTGCCTAGATATGTCAGTAATACTCTATTTTTGGTCTGGTTTTGACTCTTATAATGATAAATCATGGCAAAACGAGACAGGTACTTTCTGGAACGGCTCAAAGAACTGGCAAGTATTTTCATCATCTTCAGCACTGGATCTTATTTGAGTACCACTTGATGTTTGGGGGTGAACTTGAGTCCCAACAGACATACATTGAGAATGAAAGAGTTTATCCTGGCCTCACCAGGCAAAATATTGATCCTGCTTCTAAGCTGATGGCTGAGTTGACTATGGAGGTCACTCACTCATTCAGAGAAGTATTCCTACAGTCTGGCTGACTTCAGCAGATTGACACTCCATGTCAACTTTTTACCTGTAGAATCTTTATATTTATTTTTGATTCTTCAATTTTTTAACTTAGTATAAATTTATATAACCTCACTTGTTTCTCATTCTTTCGATTTTCTTCCATTCTCTTACCAATTATTAAGATATTCATATTAGATTTATGTGGTTTGTCCTTGATTCAAAATCCTTTAACTTACTAACAATTTCTAAAATGGCCGCTGCTTTTGTTAATACTATGGCGACAATTAATAATTACTGTACGCAAAATTTAGGATTGAGAAAAAACAATTGAAATTTGAAAGCATTATACAAACTTTCAAAATAAAGAAAACAAGAATATTGAGTTTACACTATCAAAATAAAGGAATATGAGATTTGAAAGCATTATACAAATTTCCAAAATAAAGAAACAAACAAGAATATTGTGTTTACATTAGCAAAATAAATGAATATTATTTAAATCGAAGTTAATTAGGAATTCTAGACTATTCCATTCATTGTATATGAAAATTCTCTTCAAAAAATAAATTCTTATTTTAAAATTAACATTGTGATTTTCAAAGTTATTCTCTGAGTAGCTTGGTTATAATGAATCAACAGTGTGTATTTGAGGTCATATGTTTGCCTTGGTTGGACATAGGTGCACGTGAAGAGAAAAAACTGTGGTAGCTGAAGATGCAGTTAAAACTTGCTCGAGAACAGAAAAACGTTGGTAACTGAAAATGCAGTAAGAACTTGCCCGAGGACAGAGAAAACTGTGGCAGCTGAAAATGCAGATAAAAATTTCATGAGAAAAGTAAAACTTGTGGTAGATGAGAATGCGGATAGAACTTACTTGAGATCAGAAAAAAAACCAAGAAACTGTGGTAGCTTGTCTGGGAATAAGAAAAAGAATGGTAGCTGAAAATGCAGATAGATCTTGCCCGAGAACAGAAAACCAATAGAAGCTGAACATGCAGGTAGGATTTGGCAGAGAAAAGAAAAAAAAGGCCTTCAGTGGAGCAGTAAAATGTGTGGGAGCTGAAAATGCAGATAGATCTTGCCCGAGAACAGAAAACCAATAGAAGCTGAACATGCAGGTAGGATTTGGCAGAGAAAAAAAAAAAAGGCCTTCAGTGGAGCAGTAAAAATGAAAATGCAGATAGATGTGGGAGCTGAAAATGCAGATAGATCTTGCCCGAGAACAGAAAACCAATAGAAGCTGAACATGCAGGTAGGATTTGGCAGAGAAAAGAAAAAAAAGGCCTTCAGTGGAGCAGTAAAATGTGTGGGAGCTGAAAATGCAGATAGATCTTGCCTGAGAACAGAAAAACCAATAGAAGCTGAACATGCAGGTAGGATTTGGCAGAGAAAAGAAAAAAAAGGCCTTCAGTGGAGCAGTAAAATGTGTGGGAGCTGAAAATGCAGATAGATCTTGCCCGAGAACAGAAAACCAATAGAAGCTGAACATGCAGGTAGGATTTGGCAGAGAAAAGAAAAAAAAGGCCTTCAGTGGAGCAGTAAAATGTGTGGGAGCTGAAAATGCAGATAGATCTTGCCCGAGAACAGAAAACCAATAGAAGCTGAACATGCAGGTAGGATTTGGCAGAGAAAAGAAAAAAGGCCTTCAGTGGAGCAGTAAGATAAAACAAGTGTAAGCTAAACATGCACATATATTTCCTGAGAACAGAAAAACAGGTAAAAACTGAAGTTGCTTATACAACTTGCTCGAGAACAATAAAAGTAGTGGGAGCTGAAAATGCAATTAAAACTTTCCTGAGAACAGAAAAGACTGGAAACTGAACCTGCATTTACAACTTGCGCGAGAACCAAAAAACACTGGTAGGTGAAAATGGAGTTAGAACTTGCATGAGATCCGTGAAACCTGAGGTAGATGCGAATGCAGATAGAACTTGCTGACAACAGAAAAACCTGTAGTAGATGAAAATGTGGTTAGAACTGGTCTGGGAACAGAAAAGTCTGTGGAAGCTGAACATGTAGACTGAACTTGCCAGTGAACTGGAAAACCTGTGAGAGCTGAAAATACAGATAGAACTTATCTGAAAAAGGAAAAACCTGTTTAACTCGAGATTCAGGGAGAATTTGCCCGAAGACAGAACAAGAAGTGGTATCTGAAAATGCAGCTATATCTTGTATGAGAACAGTAAAACCAGTGATTGCTGCGTGTGCAGGTAGAACAGGCATGCGAACAGTAAAAACGCTGGTAGCAAAAAATGTAGACAGAACTTGCCTGAGAAGGAAAAAAAACCGTGGTAGCTGAACAAGAAGGCAGAACTTGCACGAGAACAGAAAAAATAGGGTAAATGAAAATGCAGTTAGAGCTTGCCTGAGAACACAAAAACCAGCCGTAGCTGAAAATGCAGACAGAACTTGTCCGAGCACAGAAAAGTCTGTGGGAGCATACCATGCAGATAGAACTGGCATGGGAACAGTAAAACGTCTGGAATCTGAAAATGAAGATAGAACTTGCCTAAGAAAAAAACAACAACCATTTGTAGCTGTAAATGCAGTAAAAGAACAAAAATCTGTTGAACCTGAGGATGCAGATGAAAGTTGCTTGAAAATAGGAAAAGAAGGTGGTAGCTAAAAATTTAGTTAGAACTTGACTGAGGACATAGAATTCTGTGATATCTTAAAAGGCAAATAGAACTTTCATGTAACCAGAAAATCAAGTGGATGCTGAACAAGCAGATAGAACGTACATGAAAATAGAAAACCTGCCGTAGCTGAAAATGCACATAGAATTTCTCAGATAACAGAGACACTATTGGAAGTTTAACTTGCAGATAGATCTTGCCTGCGAACAGAAAAACCGGTGGCAGCTGAAAATGCAGACAGGATTGCATAAGAAACTAAAAAGCCTGTGGTAGGTGAAAATACAGACAGACCTTGCCGGAGTAGAGAAAATCATGTGGAAGCCTGTCATGCAGATAGGACTTGTCTCAGAAAAGAAACGCCTGTGGGAGCTTCAAATGGAGATGGAGCTTGTGTTAACTGAAAATATATATAGAATTTGCATGCAAACATAAACACCCGATGAAGATGCTGGTATAATTTACACGAGAAAAGGAAAACCATACTGATAAAGTAGAGCTTTCCTGAGAACAGAAAAACCTGTGGCAGCTGAAAATTCAGATATAAGTTGCCGGAGAACTTAAAAAACCTATGGTAGCTGAAAATGCATATAGAACTTGCTCATATATAGAAAAACCAGTGTAAGCTGAGCATACAAAGAATACTTTTCTGTGAACAGAAAAAAATGTGGAATCTGAAAATGCAGATAGAACTCGATTGGGAACAGAAAAACCAGTGGTAACTGAAAATGCAGATAGAACTCGATTGGGAACAGAAAAACCAGTGGTAACTGAAAATGCAGATAGAACTCGATTGGGAACAGAAAAACCAGTGGTAACTGAAATGCAGATAGAACTCGATTGGGAACAGAAAACCAGTGGTAACTGAAAATGCAGATAGAACTCGATTGGGAACAGAAAACCACTCGATTGGGAACAGAAAACCAGTGGTAACTGAAAATGCAGATAGAACTCGATTGGGAACAGAAAAACCAGTGGTAACTGAAAATGCAGATAGAACTCGATTGGGAACAGAAAAACCAGTGGTAACTGAAAATGCAGATAGAACTCGATTGGGAACAGAAAAACCAGTGGTAACTGAAAATGCAGATAGAACTCGATTGGGAACAGAAAACCAGTGGTAACTGAAAATGCAGATAGAACTCGATTGGGAACAGAAAAACCAGTGGTAACTGAAAATGCAGATAGAACTCGATTGGGAACAGAAAACCAGTGGTAACTGAAAATGCAGATAGAACTGATTGGGAACAGAAAACCAGTGGTAACTGAAAATGCAGATAGAACTCGATTGGGAACAGAAAAACCAGTGGTAACTGAAAATGCAGATAGAACTCGATTGGGAACAGAAAACCAGTGGTAACTGAAAATGCAGATAGAACTCGATTGGGAACAGAAAAACCAGTGGTAACTGAAAATGCAGATAGAACTCGATTGGGAACAGAAAAAAACCAGTGGTAACTGAAAATGCAGATAGAACCGATTGGGAACAGAAAACCAGTGGTAACTGTGGATAGAACGATTGGGAACAGAAAAAATGCTGAAGATAGAACTCGATTGGGAAACAGAAAAACCAGTGGTAACTGAAAATGCAGATAGAATCGATTGGGAACAGAAAACCAGTGGTAACTGAAAATGCAGATAGAACTCGATTGGGAACAGAAAAACCAGTGGTAACTGAAAATGCAGATAGAACTCGATTGGGAACAGAAAAACCAGTGGTAACTGAAAATGCAGATATTACTTGCCTGAGAAAAGAAAAATCCCAGGTAAAGCTGTACAAAATTGGTCCATGAGAATAGAAGAATCCGTGGAACTGAAAATGCAGATAGAACTCGATTGGGAACAGAAAAACCAGTGGTAACTGAAAATGCAGATAGAACTCGATTGGGAACAGAAAACCAGTGGTAACTGAAAATGCAGATAGAACTCGATTGGGAACAGAAAAACCAGTGGTAACTGAAAATGCAGATAGAACTCGATTGGGAACAGAAAAACCAGTGGTAACTGAAAATGCAGATAGAACTCGATTGGGAACAGAAAAACCAGTGGTAACTGAAATGCAGATAGAACTCGATTGGGAACAGAAAAACCAGTGGTAACTGAAAATGCAGATAGAACTCGATTGGGAACAGAAAAACCAGTGGTAACTGAAAATGCAGATAGAACTCGATTGGGAACAGAAAAACCAGTGGTAACTGAAAATGCAGATAGAACTCGATTGGGAACAGAAAAACCAGTGGTAACTGAAAATGCAGATAGAACTCGATTGGGAACAGAAAAACCAGTGGTAACTGAAAATGCAGATAGAACTCGATTGGGAACAGAAAACCAGTGGTAACTGAAAATGCAGATAGAACTCGATTGGGAACAGAAAACCAGTGGTAAAAATGCAGATAGAACTCGATTGGGAACAGAAAAACCAGTGGTAACTGAAAATGCAGATAGAACTCGATTGGGAACAGAAAAACCAGTGGTAACTGAAAATGCAGATATTACTTGCCTGAGAAAAGAAAATCCTGTGTGTGCTGCACATGCATATTGGTCTTGCATGAGAATAGAAGAATCCGTGGAAGCTGAAAGTGCAGATAAAACTTTATTGGAAACAGTAAAACTTGTGGTAGCTGAAAATGATAATAGATCTTGCCTGGGGGCAGAAACCTGTGTGGTAATTCCAAGTCTAGACATAAATTACCTGGGAACTGAAAAACTCCGGATAGCTACAAATGGGGATAGGGCTTGTTTGGGGACTGAAAAAACATGTAGCTGAAAACTTGCGTTGAAACTGAAAAATTAACAATTGTACTATGGACCATAGATTTTGACATTCGATAATAGAGTGAGACGCCTTTGGTGGTGAGAATATGGCAATCGCTGTTGAAAATTTTAGGATACTTGCTGTCATTTCTTTTTTTGCGATGTCCACAAATTCCAAATAATTTGACTAAATCCTGACAGAGAATAACGTAGTATCATTTATTATTATAAATGCATCACAGGATCAAATGCGTTTTGACATTTTCGTCAACGATGCAAATGTATGTTTAAACTTAGACATATCACGAATCATTTGTATTTCCGAAGCAACTTGAGGGCGTGTAAGTGCGGAAAGTATCATAATCGCTAGCTGCCTATAAAATTAAATGAACAGTGATAAATCTTCCTGGAATATCTTGCATATAAATTAACATTTAATACAAACACGCAACCTAATGCTATCATTAACACAAAATCCTAATATGCATTTACTAATCTGTCTCTCATCAGTCGCTTCAAAGTAGATATTTTGTGCAAGACAACTTTTGGTCAGGTGATTTAACAGTATAAAAAGTCCTGTTGGTTTATTTAAGGTTGAAGAATTTTTTTTATCGTTGTTCTGGTTAATACCTGATTCAAAAAAATGGTTGTGTTTATATTTGAGTCAAAAAGTAAATATTGGTCATACACTTGAAACAAAATGTAAGATTCAGCGCAAATAGCTTTGCTCTTCCAATAAAGAAGTAACTATTTTTGTATTTCTTTTTCGACAATTCCGTGAGTAATATCTTAAACATAACTTTGGGGAGTTTACACTGAATACTTATTCAGGCCACGAGTCTGAATGCTATCATCAAATTATTTATTTTCCATAAGGAAAGAGAGGGATTTCTTATATGCTTGTCTCCCAGGTACATGCGCGTTATTATATTTTTGAATTTTTTTTTACCCGAAAGCGATGTTCTCTATCTATTATTTTGGACTCTTCCCATAGAGTGTAATATGACATTTTCTCTATTCTACCATGGTAGACTTTTCTTCTTTCTCTGCATATCTTCCTCAAGTCTTTCAGGGTACTGTTGCCATTTTTCTGATGCGACTTACTACATTTTTACTTGAAGTTAAAGTAAAACCTTTTATCGATTACTTTTTATTCGCTCTCAAGTGCGAAGAGAAACTATTATTTGGTGGATGATTCGCCAGAGTTCTGATAATCATTTCGTAAAAGGCTTGAAGGATTCCTTTCAGACAGTGGAAAGTAAGATTCCCTTTTTTTTCTTTGCTTGCTGCGGCCCCAAGCGGTCACCCATCAAGGTACTGATCAAGCTTGACGCTGCTTAACTTAGGTGATCGTACCCGAACCCGTTCTTCAGCCTGTGATGGCGGCAAGCCCACTATTTTGAATTTGTAACCAAATAACGCACAATTTAAAGGCATAAATAATATTTCTTTTTGGGGGATAAAAAATGTTTACTTTGTTTTATTTCACTACTATAAAAACTGTTTCATTTCACTGTTAAAGAAACTTTTTATTTCACTGTTATGAAAACTGTTTTCTTTCACTGGTGAAGAAAGTTATCTTATTTCACTGTTATGAAAACTGTTTTATTTCCCTGTTATACAAACTGTTTTATTTCACTGCTATAAATAAATACATTCTATGGTTTCAAGTATATTTGAGATAAAGACAAATCATTTTAGTAAACATACCAGAAGAAGTTTTTATTATTAGGCTGCACAGAAAGATTGCATTTTACTTTTTCCTCGAGTCGAACACCGACCAGTTATAAGTACGCAAACATCTAGGCCACGAGGCAGACGTGTAATTGATATTAAGTATTGTTTAGTACAAGACTACATTGTGATTAATACAAGTAAAACGATTGTGCCACATATACATACTGTGCCATATATATATATATATATATGCATATATATATATATATATATATATATATATATATATATATATATATATACATATATATATATATATATATATATATATATATACATATATATATATATATATATATATATATATATATATATATATATATATATATATATATATATATATATATATATATATATATATATGCATATATATATATATATATATATATATATATATATATATACATATATATATATATATATATATATATACATATATATACATATATATATATATATATATATATATATATATATATATATATATATATATATATATATATATATATATATATATATATATATATATATATATATATATATATGCTGTTAGACACAGTTTATCTTCATTCTCAGCACGAGGATGTAGTTTATTGTCATGCCCAAGACGTGGGTAAGGTCTGTAAAAAACTGCGAGTTCACTATTTGCCCATAGCTGGGACCCTAACAGGTGCTACCACCCCGGGTCAGGGTGCACCTGGGAACACCAGCAATCAAAGAGGTGGTTCCACGCTCCTCAAAACCTCCTGATCAGTGACCTTGCTGTTGGATGCAGTTTAACGTCATGCCCTGGACGGAGAATACCAGGAGTTCTAAGCTTGGATTCACGAATGATGTAATAAATAACTTCCCAGAATTATGAAATCTGAGAACTGAGTTCTATTTCTAGTCAGGTTCGTTATAGTCACTTACACGTAAATATGCTTGGAAAAGTTATTCATTCACTTCTTTTCCTCTTCAGCTATGGGTTAATTAGTAGAACCTGCATCAGTATATCATTATTATCACTAAAAAAATCTTAAAATCTAAAAAAACAAAAATTCTGGCTTAAAATAACCTTCAAAAGGTTGATATACCGTAAAAGACAATCAATCGTAGTTATAACTCACGTCTCGACAGCGGGCGGCATAAAAATTCCAATTCTATTTTCAGCTTTGACAGATGAATATGTTTTTATCATTCTCTCTCTCTTTCACGCATGCGCGCGCACGCACACACACACACTTATGGAGAGATGGATTTATGCGTTAACGTAAAATTTTCATTCAGTATGTCAATTCGAATTGCCAATTCGACTTTCTTGCTCCTGGATTTCCGTCTATCGCGATGAACGGGTGTTCTCTTAAAGATGCCACTTGCCTAGCTTAATGGGATTTAAGCTTGTCCCAGACTTCAAGTGGAACTCATATCAATTGCTGCATATGTTGGTAAAATGTTTCTTGTATCGCTCAAGTAAGTACCTGACTCCTCTTGCAACAACAAGATTAGACCGAAAAAGGAGTACGGCTACCATATATGGGACGGAACTCCTTAGTATTCAATTTCAAGTCCCAAAGTGTTTTGCGGGGCCTTGTGGAGGATGAATTGTTTTCCACCTAACTTCTCCTTTTCCCCACAGATGAAACATTGATTACTCTATTTTCATGGAAAATGTTCAGACGATCTACGTTTCTTAGTTCAGCCAACTCTTGCCTCCCAGCTAAGACTAAGATATTGAGGCAAATCACCCTCATTCTCTTCGTATTCCTTTGGTAAAGAGTAAGTTCCATTCGGATAGCTTTTTCCCCAAGAACTGTTGCCGTGTGGAACAGAATCCCAAGAGAATGCTTTCCCGATTACTAAAAATTTAACCTCTTTAAGTCTAGGGTTAACCGTTATCTTTCACAAATATTCACATAAACAGCGCCCCTAATTTTTACCTCACACACCATCCACCTTCAGTCAGTACCTACCTAGAGTGCCTCTTGATATTTCATTATGTAGTCCCGTGACATGATTGATCATGGATCTCCACAACCTTCTGAATTTTGTGACTAGGAAACGTTTGCCAATTTACTCTTTGTTCTTGATCTGACATCTATACACTCGGACTCACCACAGTATGATTTCATAGCTTCTCTCTCATTGATTATATCCAAGGAGAGTTATTTTTTCAAATCTCCTTCCTTCAATACACGTTTCAAAATTTTCATTTAACCCAGTGTGATTGCTAACAGCAGTTACTTTGTAATTTTTGTAATTCTGAAAACTTCCTTGTTATTGATATGCACTCTCTATGGTATGTTACGGTTTTTTGTGTATATAATACATATAACTAGGAGATTTATTGTACTGAAAAAATACAATTGTGGCACAAGGCCGATGAAGGGGAGGGGTAAAGGCTGGTCTTCGCTAACTATCTTATACCTAGCTAATCAGATTCACGACCCATTCATACATTACAATTTTACTCATTCACCACAAGAACTTGTCCATCACCACTCAATCCTTCATGCACCATAATACCGGATTCTCACAAGGGGGACCTCCAAAACGCGCCCCAATCCATAAAAATCTGATGATACATAAATGATATACATAAAATTCTAAGAATGATAGAATGCAAGGGGAGGGAGATGAACCCAATAATAACTAAAAATCAACACAAAATGCAAACTAAACATAACACATGTTAGTAAGGACCGTCCAACCCTCAAAACAGAGAGGCCGCTGTATTCTGCCCAGAGGACAAAATCAAGAAGCACTCTGGCTAAGGAAGTGGGAAAAGAGGATAAAATATTATGCCGGAATGGGTAATATAAAGCTGACCCAGTCGAGATAAAAAAGGGCCAAAACAAACTGGGGAGGTTGGGAATCTCGACTTGGACCATAACCGAAGAGCAGCCGGGATACAGGCCAGGAACGACACTTACTCACATTAACTAGGTACACTGAAGCTTGTCTAACCTAACCAAGGGGAGGGTTCCACAGGAAGCCACCCCGATGTGCTATAGGTTGACCTAGAAAAGAAAATCAAGGCTAGCCCCGGTTACACGAACCAGG